ATAAAATACCTATTATCTATATCACACCAGCATGACTGGCAGGTTATATAGCATTTGTGTAATAGTTACATAATATTGTCTTTTGGAACAAGGTCTGTAGTTATATAAAGAAATGCAAACTGATACCAGGCAGTACAAATCTACAATAAGTTTTTGTAGTTATGTAAATTATAAGAACCAAATAAAGGAAACAGAAGTTTATTTAAAAGACTCAAGTAGAGAGATAACCTAAACTTTTAACAGTACTACTGTAAAGACTAAACCTATAAAACAGAGCTAGAACTTGTAAAATCAGACAAATGTGCTAGTCTTTAAGGAGGGACCAGATGAACCAACTAGACCACCAGAATTTTCAGATTTCAGAAGAAAAAGGTACATGCTAGCAAATATATAAACCAGAGGTGTATAGTTATGATTTGCCTTTTTGAACTATCTGGATTGGCAGTTTGATAGAACTTGAATTGAATACCAAAGTAGTAAAGATATGTTGTGAAGTTAGTACCAGGGTTGAGATAAACTTTATAAGAGCATAGTAGTTTAATGATATGTTCTAACTGCTAGTGTTAGTCTTGGCCATAACAATACCAGATTAGCTGTAAGAATAGAATACAGAAAATTCTGAAAAGTTTAGTACAAGGTTAAAGGTTTTTTATATGAGTAAACTGCTTTAAAGACTTAGTAACTATGGCATATTTTTATTAGCATTAGTTAGAATCATTAGTAGGCAGAGGTAAATAGATGAATATGGAAACTAGAGTAATTAAATAGAAAACTTACAAGCAGATTTTAGATATGGCAGCTAGTGTAGAATCTTCAGGTAAACTACTTAAATTAGACAATAACTAAAGTTGTACAAGTGGCTAGTTGTATACACTTTCTATAGTTGCTCTCTGTAATTGTAATATAACTATTAGCCAAATATACTATTAATAAAATTTTAGATCACAAGTATTTATCTTAATATTTAAAAAAAAAATTAAGTTGTTAACCTTAAATAATAGGTCTAGTATTTAAATTTTATTTACAATAAAATTTAAAAATTATATTTGTGTTTTGATATACTGTTTCTTAATAATTAGTTAGATTGATATATCTGTAACTTTAAAAATAAAAGATACTATTTAAAATTCTATATAAACTTAACAGTAATTTTTTTTTATATTTAATTTTATAAAAAATTATATTAAGTAATCTAATTTTAGAAATGTAACAATCTAGTAAAGTAGTCAAGTTGTCAACTTCCAAGTAGCAGATCTAAAATTCAAATCTTAGTAATAGCAAAAATTTAAAAATTCTTTTAGTATTACAGTTAACTATCTTTCACTATTAGTTGGAATCAAATATTTGTTACTTATATTATATCAGCTTGACTAAAAGATTATATAATATTTGTGCAATAATTATATTTTGTATAAAAGAACACAAACTGATATCATGTGATGTGAACTTATAATAAGTTTCTGTAACTATGTAAATTACAAAAATCAGAAAAACAAAAGTTCACTTAGAAGATCTGAGTAAAGAGGTAGTCTAAACTTTTGACAGTACTATTGTAAAGACTAGACCTATAAAATAAAGCTAAAACTTGTAAAGCCAAACAAATATGTTGATCTTTAGAAAGAAATCAGATAAACCAACTAGGCTGCTAAAATTTTTAAATTTAAAAGAAAAAAGATATATATCAAAGAACATATAAACTAAAGGTGTATTATTACAACCTAGTTTTTTAGACTATCTGAGTTGGCAGCTTGGTAGAACTTGAATTAAATACCAAAGTAGTAGATATATGTTATGAAGTCAGTACTGAGGTTAGATAAACATTACAAAAGCATAGCAATTTAATGATATGTTCTAACTGCAAGTGTTGGTCTTAGCCATAGTATTACTGAGTTAGTTGTAAGAATAAAATACAAAAGATTTTGAAAGGTTTAGTACAAAGTCAAAACTTTTTATATGAGTAAATTGCTTTAAAAACTTAGTGATTATAGCATATTTTCACTAATATTAGCTAGGGCTAGAGGCCTGTATTGGGTCTTACAGCCTGGCCTAGCTGGTTTAGCTTGCAAATTTTTATAGGCCAAGTTAGGTCTAAAGCAAAGTTTTATAATTGTGAACCAGACTGAGCCAAGCCTAGAATTTTGCAAAATTATATAAGAAATTTTGCAGGCCAAGCTAAGCCAAAACTGGCTAAAGAAAAATTTTAATATATGCAAGCCAGACTGAGTTAGCAAAAAAATTTTAATTCGAAATAGTGTTTTTTACAGAACAGTTTAGGCCAGGTTTTAACAAAAATTTGAATCCAAACTAAAAAACCAGATCAGGTTTAAGAATAGATCTGTACCTAAATAGGTAAAGCTCAACTCAAACCAGAATCAGTCTAAGTATTATAAAATAACTTTGTTCTGATTGGCTAATGTAAATTAATTGCTCAAATAACTTATTTATACACTTTAAAGTACTTCTTGAGAACATAATATTTTATTAACAAAAAAATTACCATGAAAGCAAATTCTAGCTTTACATGAATATAGGTATTTACTGTTAAAATTAATTCAAAATAATCTACCTCTTTAAGAACTTTACTTAGAAGCAAATATTTTTACTATATATTGCTAATATTAGTTATATAATATTAACTATATATAAGTTTTAAATGCCAAAAATAGTTAGCAAAAAAATAAAATTGAAACATTACATATAAACTTAGAACTTTAAATGTACTGTTTAATATGCTATATATTATAATAATAATAGTTTTGTACTAATGTTTACTGTATATTTTATGTTTGTAGAATTATATTATAAGAGTATTAAATATAACTTTGGGTTAAGTAATAGTCAATAATATGTATATATTATTGTTTTATTTATAATTATATAGGCTTAGAATTATGTGAGTTATGTTGTGTTTTTAATAAAGACATGATAACTTAAAATAAAATAAAATTATTTTAATTACTTTTCAAATATAATAAAGAATAAAAGATAGTTTTATTAATATTTTATTCATATAGAATTTTTTGATTGATTTAAACTTAGGTTTATTAATAATAAATATCAATTTATATGCTATTTATTTATTTTTAAAAATAAGACTAATTTTTTTTGTGTACATTATTAGTTTGTAAGCTTCTTAATATAAAATTATTTATTTTCTAATAATGTTAAACTGATAAATATTTTAAACAGTTATGCATTTTGATTGGTTAATTATTATAAGAAATTACAAGTAGATCTATTAATTATAAAAATGTCATCCTATAAGTCTAAGTATGCTCACAAAAAAATTGAACTAATAATAATTTTATAATACATATTAATCAATTAAAAATAAAACAATTTAAAAATTTGCTAAGCAAAAAGCATTTGATTTTATTATATTATTCTATCTAATCAAGTTGCAAATATTTTATCACTAATATTTGGATCTTATTAAAAAGAATTTATTTTATTATATATTTAACTATTTAATTCTTTCCACTATAATCTCAAACATATAACTTCTTATACTGTCTTACAATCCAATTGATTTCACTTATTAGTAACTATATTTTTACTTATACTAAATATTTGCTTGCTTGAAATACTTATTGCTAGTATCGAAAGACAGTCTTAGGCAAATTTTGCAAAATTTGAATAACATGATTCATTATTTTGCTACTACTCTAAAATATCAATATCTTCACTTATTCATGGCACTAGTAAATATGTATCTATTTCACTTTGTTGTTCTATATGTAATTGTTTATACATTCATACTATTATATTTGATGGTTTTTTAATAGTATAAATCATATCTTGATTAGAAACAGATGCATATTTATTCTCATATTTGTTTGTAATACTAAAAACAATATTTATTTATTTATTTATTTATTAATTTTTATAACTTATTATATGATTTGTACTATCAACTTACATATCTTTGATCTGAATAATAAGTTGTGATAGCTATTTAAGAGTTTCAAAATACCTAAGTTTAAGCCATGGGTCTAATATTACTGCAGCAATATTTAATATATTCAATTTTTGACAATATTTTAAAAGCTTTATGATTGCAGCCTCACATCTATAGTTAAGCTATTGTGGCATGTTTTTCTTCTTTCTAGTCTTATTAAGTGTTTTAACTAAAAGATGATAAAGAGGAATAACTATTAACAACATTGAATATTCTTGTTTTGACATCTTAACCATTGCTAAATTAAACAAAATATTAAATTTTTTTTTTTTTTAAAAAAAAACAGATTGACTAACAAGAAAAGTTAATTATAAGAGCATTTTTTAAGTATCTTACTTAATGAATCTGATGCAAATTAGTCATAATTCTAATAAACTAACCAAGTGAGTTATTATTTTAATAAATAAAATATGAATATAATAACCACCTTTTTTTTTAGAATGTGTTACTTTAATTGTTTAAATTTTAGTTTCTATTTTGCACAACAATTTTTAGCATGTTGTTATAAGATATACTTTAATACTTTAATTAATTACAATAATTGAGCAACATTTTAATCACTTTTAAATTATATTGAGAGAGCTGCTTGAGAGTGTTTTAAATTTAAGCTTAGCATAAAATGAATTAGTTTTATGCTAAGCTTAAAACAAATTACTAAATAAAAATACTAAACTTCTTTAAATAGTACTAAAATTGAAACAAGTAGTTCAATTTTTTTTTAATTTTTCTTAGCAAGTATGTATTGGTGTAAATTCAGATCAGTACAAAAGATAATATCTAACACAATTCATAATGTTACTGCACAAGAACACATTTCATAAATGAAGTTCTACTGAATAGGAACATCAAGAATAGGCTTTAAAATTTCTTTATTTTATGTAACTAAAAAAAAAAAAAAAAATAAATAAAAAAAAATTTCATCAAAATATATTTATTTGTTAAAAAAAAATATACAAATAAATAAAGTATTAATTATTTCTAATTTCTTTTCTATGTTATTAAAAATTCTTTGTACTGCAAAATTTAGAATATAAGCAAAGTATTATATTGATTGTTGTTTATAATCAAACTGAATACTAGTTGATGAAATAGAATCAGCAAAGTCTTGTAAAAATTTATCATTAAAAGTTGTGTTATTACATATAATTACTATTATTTTAAAAATAATCCTTAATAATCTAAGACAAGTTTCCATAGCTTTGGCTATTTTAGCATCTGTATATTGCCTATCTATATTAATAAAATTAAGTAAAAGATGCTTTATTGACCATGATGCATTTAGGTAATGTATAGTAACTGTCATAAATGATTTGTCATTATTATTGGTTGTTCAAATATCAGTTGTAATTGCTATATATTCAGGAACTTTTTGCAGTTTGATTTGAAGTTATTCATGTTTTTTTTCAAAATTCTTAGTGATGTGCCTTTTTATTATATCTGACAATAATACTAAAATAAATAATAATAAAAAAAATTCAAAATCACAATGCTACATGTATATAATCAAATAATCTCAAATAATATATAAGTAGGTTTTAAAGTAAAATTACCTATTACTTGGGGCTCCAAATATATAAATATTTCTCTAAGACTATCATATCATTTAATAAGGTCAGTAAATTTTTTAGACTCAAAGAATTTATAATCTTGATTTGTAACCTAATAATTATATATCATATGTTTCAAAAATGCTACAAGATATACTGTGTTTTTTTTTTATTTGTTTTTTTTTAACTTACAGCTTTGCTTTTAAGTATATCTAAAACAGAGACATTTTGCTTTGACTTTGTATTTAATTCTTTCAATTCTAGTACTTTATTTTTATATTAGTGAATAAGATGTTTGTAAAAGCTTGAAGTTGATTCGTCCTCATAAATTTTTAAACCATTACCATAATGTTTATATACTGCAGCCAATACAATTAATTCATTTTTATTTTTTAATTTTTTTTTTAAAATGGTTCTATACAAACAATCTATAAATAAATATATTAGTATTATTGTATAATATAAAATTAATACAGTACTAAGTTTCTAAATAAATTACTTATTAGTTACAGCAGTTTTAGTTGAAGATAATGATTTATCATTCTCAAATTCATTTAAATAGGTTATATTTGTTGGCTCCTGAGCATTATTATTATTATGAGGTTCATCACAAGGTTTATTGTAAGATTTATCATAAGGTTTTTTGTAAGATTCATTATAGAGTTTATTGCAAGTTTTATCATAAATGCCATTATATGAAAACATATTTAAGCTTGACATTATTCTCTTTTTTTTTCAGTTAACTTTATATCAAACTTAATATTCTTAAGAAAATTAGTTTAAAAAAAAAAATTTAAATTCAGTCTATTAGGTTTAGTTTAAAGTACTGTATGACTGTATTAGATTATAGTAATATATCTGATCTTATTGTGAAAGATGAAAGGTCAGAAAGTTTTAATATAATTGACTAAAGAAAAAAAATTAGTGCTTTAGTTTTTATGAAACATTATAATCAAAAAAAATTTATTTTTATATAAAACAAGAAACCAATCAGCTGCATTTTCTACCTTATAGATCAGTTCAAGTATTATCAGTTTGGGTTTCTCTTATAACCTAGTTTTGGTTAAGTTCAAAAGATCATTGTTCCAACCTGATCTGCAAGATTGAAACCAGTTCAGGTCTGGGTTTTTAGTTCAGATATGCAAAAACTAACTTTAAATATGAACTAGGCCAGGCCTAAAAAATAGACAATTTGCAAGCCTCTAGCTGGAGTTGTTAGTAAGCAAAAGTAGGTAAATAGATATAGGACTAAAATGTTTAAATAGAAAACTTACAAGCAGATTCCAAATATAACAACTAATATAAAACCTTTGGGTAGACTATTTAAATTAGACAATGACTAAAGTTGTATAAATGGCTAGTTGTATACTCTTTTTATAATTGTCCTTATGGTTGTAATGCAACTATTAGCCAAATATACTATTAATAAAATTCTGGATCACAAGTACTCATTTTAATATTGTTAAAAAATAAAAATAAACCAATTTTAATTATTAAATAAAAGTTATATAATAGGTCTATTTAATTTTAATAATAATAAAATTATTAAAATTAGTTAAAAACTTATTAAAATATGAATTTTTAAAGATTAGGATATAAAATTATATAATATCTCATTGCATAGTCACTAGTGGGCTGCAGCTGGTAGCTGTTTTATTAGTTTAAATTTTTTTAAGTTTACAGGACCTTCTATCAAGACCCTGCCTATATTTATATTTTACATTTTATTTATATACATTTTTATAATACTATCTATATATTGATTTTGTGTTCTTATTATTTCAGAATTTCATTAGGATTATTTCTAATCAGAAATTCCTTTGTTTTATTATTATTCTTAGTCCCTAATCATTATGGTCTTCTTATATCAGGTCTGTTACTATTTAAGAATCTGAGTACCAAAGATCTTTTTAGTTTCATAGTGCACTATCAGATGTAATTAATCAACAAATTTTAACAATATCAAAAAAGAAGCAAATAAAGTTATATACAAACAGTAATACTGCAATAAGAAATATTAATAGAGGTTTAGAACAAGTATATTAAAAGAAGATCTTTAAGAAAAAAAATATGATATAGATAATTAAGATTATAGATCTTATTAAGACAAAAAATATACAAATAGAATTAATTAAAATAAAAAATTATAGCAAAGATAAATGAAATAATAAAGTTAATAATTTTGTAAAAAAAAATAATAAGTAAAAAAATAATATAGACTAAAAAGTTTATTATAAAAAGATAAATTATTACTTTAACAGTGTAGGTCTCATAACTTAGTAGTTAAGTTCTCATACCCTCTACAGTCAAGATTAATAGTTCAAGTCTGACTGAAGGCAAAAATTGAAAGATTTTAGCTTCTGTAACCTAATAAAAAGCCTGTAATTGAATGCGAAGCTCTGTAGTTAAATCTAAGTACAGTACAATTATAGAAATAGAAATTCCCAGAAGGAGACCCAATTAATGAGTGCAGACACTATGTGTGACAAGCAGTTGTTACAAAAGGTTATGATTATAGAAAAATTGTACATATAAGTCCTTTAGACTAAGGTAGCACCAACATCCTTATACCTTCTAATATAGGCAGTATCAACATCTTTGCATCCAACTTGTGGAGTACTTGCTTGGAAAAATAATCAACAAATTGTACAAATAAGTTTTAATTAAGATTTAAGAAGAGAATTTGATTAGGAGAGTATTTTGAAAGTAACCAAAACTGAAATAGTAAAAAAAGCAGTAAATACAAAGATGAATTGTGATAAAGGATTGGTCTAATCAAAAAATTAGAAGCACTTCTGGCACAGCCAAATAATCTAATTATAAAAAAGAAAAATCTTAGAGGTTGATATATAACTTCCTTGTGCAATGTAAAAGTACCAAATTAGGTTCCTGGTTATACCTATATGAAAGTCTATAATGAACAAGACTAGGATCAACCAACCAATATGAGATAAAATCTGCAAGGTAGTATAATATCACTAGGGTTAATATAACTCCCTAGGATATAATCAGAATTGTTTTGCAAGTATTATCAAATAAGCTGGAAACTTGCAATATATAGTAGCATGATATTACTAAGATTAGAGGAACTCCTTAGGTATAACTAGAATTGTTTTGTTTATGAGCATAACAAGTCCCAGTTTTCTCTATAAAAGGAAGTACCATATTAAAGGTTAAATGCAGCATCAAGTTACTATATGATATTAAGACCTGAGGCATCTGCAAGAACAGTGGCAGCAGACTTGATTTGAGATACAGATTGATCAAAAAGACCAATAGTGGCAGCAGATTTGGCTTGAAATATAGGTTCATTGCAGATTCTGAACTATTGTTAGAATACTTTAGAAGAATCAATAAAAGGCATACCAAAGATAATAAGATTATAAGAATCAAACATACCTGAATAGAACTAATTTAGAAGTAATACAGTAATAAAAAAGTGAGAAATGTGAAAAACAAGATAATACTAAATATAGTTAGATTAAAAGGCAGAAGAAACAAGACTAGGTAAAACATGTGAGTAGGACATATAAGTACAATTTACAGAAGACAGTACCTCTAGCATTTGGGATACTATATTAAGTTCAGTAGGTATTTTTGTTTGTGTAATAGTTTAATAGTATGCCCTGACTGCAAGTAGTTGTTAAGATAACTGCATGCAGTAAACATGCACTTAGGTGCTATAAGGGTAACTGGGTGAAATCAGTGATATAAAATTAGATAGTATATAGTACTAGTAATAATCAATCCTAAAAAATATAATCATAAATTTGTACTATATCAAATTAAAGCTAATAAACCAACTGGCATTGTTGTTAAAAAAAAAGAAAAATAAAATAAAATAAAATAAAGTACTATTTTAAATAAAAAAATAGACAAACTGACATACTATTAAAACTTTTATGCAAATTAATAATAAATACAATATTGAAAATAGAATAAAAAAAAACAAAAGCAATTAGAAATTTAAAACCAAAAACAAAAACAATAATTTATAACTAAATATAATTTTAAAAAAAACTAAAAACAACTAAAAGAATATATTATATAATAAGAAAAAGTAGTATAAAAAGAAATAAATTTATAAAATATATAATAAATAAACTTTTAACTTTAAAGAAATTTAATAAAAAAAGATTAGATATATATAACAACAGAATATTAAATATACATATTAAAACAAAATAAAAGAAATATAAATATATCTGATATCATATAAGAAACAAACAAATCTTTAAAAAAGAGTTTAAAAAATAACTATCACAAGAGTATAAAAAAAAACAAAAAAAACCTGTATTCTTCTAAATATGCTATATATAACATTTTTCAAAAAACTAGAGTCAAAAGAGATAAAAATAAAAGAAATATTAATTAAAAATCTAATTTTTTAAAAAAATACAAAATAGATTAGTATAGTTTTTAAGTATAAAAACAAAATAGCAGTTTGTAAATATAATAACAAAAACAGCTTAAGAGATTTTTTATAACCAAGTTTATCTTATTTTAGATTTTTAATCTAACTAAGTCAAATCAATAAACGAAATTCTAATTATAAAAACTATACTTATTCTTATTTATATAAACTATCTAATCAACTACATTCTAACTCTAATACTTGTCCACCTATTGATTATGCTATTTGTAAAATTAACATCTGAATTATTCTTAGATCAAATACAATATTTTATATAATCATATTCTAAACTTATAAAGCTAGATAAATCCTGATTATTTTAATAGGTTTAGGTTAAAGATAAATATATTTAAACTTTTATTCTTGAATGTAATTTTTCTTTTATTTGTATTTAAAACAATAGTTATATAATTAGCAGTTTAATGATTAACCTTAACTACAAGTGTTAATCTCAACCATAGCTAACTTTTAAACTACCAATAAAAATACGAGCAAGGCCTCACCTTAATACCAAAAAATAAAGTATGCCAAATTGTAATGCAGCAAAAATTCTTTAAAGTTCATTTATATATATTAAAGTTAAAATCAGAATTGAAAATCCGAGAAGAGTAGATTAAAAATTATTTAGCAGAAACTTTTATTAAAGTTTTAAAGATGATTTCTTATACTGATTTTAGAGAAATAAAAAATTTTTGACAAAATAGTTGCTTTTTTTTAATTTTCTTGATTATAATGATACCAATGACCCCGTGCTCACAACCCTAAACTCTACCCATACATATACCTGTCCAAAACGCCATGCATTAATTAAACGCAAAGTATCTAACAATGACCATGATTTACCAAATGAAACTACCTTTTACAATAACAAAACATATTATAACAGTTGCATAATCGAAAATGTTTTACACTTTTTCAAATTGTTTATAATTATTTTATTTTGAGTAGCTAGTGATAATTTCTTTGTATTTATTGACTATCGATTAAGTATGACTAGAGATGCTGGTGAAATTTACCAATAGTGGTTAAATTAATTCACCACTCTGGTTTAATTTCAACAGCATCTTTAGTTATGACTAACCTATCGTTATATTGCTTATACGTATGCTGTATTTTAATAAGAGAATATTTACTAACCATATTCTTCGATAACTTAATACATACACTTGTAATGAAATAAATCTTGATACATATACGTACGAGTTAATTTATTATACGTATGATTTATTGCAATATCTTCATTAGTCATTGTTATTAACAAAAAATTATATAAATATAGGTACATAGATAGGTACGTACATAACATTGGAGAGACTGAAAATGTTTATTAATCATATTAAAAATTTAATTTTTGCATGACTCAATAATAAGCTAGACCTTAGTTATACTCAAAATGGTAGCGGCAAGTAATTATAAAATTGTGTTAAATCATAATAATTAAAAATAATTCTAAACGTTTGAAATATATTTTACGTAAATACGGCACAAGGATGCATAGTATTTATTTAAGTATGGGCTATTATGTAATAAAGAGTGAGAGTTACAGTGTTCGTTTAGTCTGGCCTTTAAGTCTGATTGATTACACTAAATTAATTAGAGTGGATGAACCAAAAAGGCCAGACAAACTGACACTGAAGTTCAAGATTTTTATTAATAACCTTGTTTAAAAGATATACATACATTCTTATAAGTACATATGTACATATGTACATACGTATGTAGTTATTATATCAGATATAGATAATGTAGTTGTAATTTTTAGAATTCTTTTTTTTGACCATTACGGGTTTGTCCAACGATAATGCGTTACGTCGTACATAAGTACATATAATGGATGGATGGCGCTAAATTGAACATTCAACTGTGACTGTTATCTATATAGGACAGTTATGACTAAAAGCAGCAAGATCACCTCATTTTTTATTTAATTGGTGGGTGTACCGGATTTAGTTTCCTATATTAACGATTACATTCGATTCCAATACTTTAGAACATGTGTATAGATGAAAAAAAAGACGTACTTATTAGAATGTCGCGTGAATGTATGCATGAATTGAATGAAATTACGCAAGACAGTTACGCGACCAATCAATTCTTAAAAAGAAAAATCAGATCAAGGAAATTTTCGTGATCGATTATGATTCTGAAAAATAAATGTAACCAATAACAAATAACATTGCATAGATCTTATGGGTAAAAAGTAATTTATATTCAATTCACTACACAATACATACATATATATATATATATATATGTATATAAAGTTCTTTTGAAATTTGGGTGAGTCAACAATAGATATACATAGTATATTTAATCTTCAATTATTATTTCACAGCATTTAAGTAACAACAAAGAATGCCGGCGGAAACTTATATTCCGGAATCCATAACTTTTTTTGGTTTATTATCACCATAAAAAGCAATACATAAAATCAGATGAGGAATAAAGAGATTGCGATATTAGGAATCATGATGATGACGTGATTCCAAAAGAAGATTGATGGTGTATTCTTCTATCACGATTCACGAAGCAATCTGTAGGTAACAAAGAAAAAAAATAATTACACTGAATGGTTTAATTTAATTGTACAAGATTTTATAGACAAGGAACATAAAATAAAATAAAAAAACCAGGTAAAAATCACATCGTTATTGAGCAGGTTAAAATAATAATAATAGATATTTTTATTGCTATATGGAGTAAATTCCAATTCTCTGGATCTATTTATGAACATCATTGACTATTTAAGCACAGCCACAACAAAATCGGTGTTTTTGTCCGGTTTGCATTGTGAAACAAAATTTGATGAAGGTAACTTTGTGTCTATGAATTTACGGGTAGATCTGAATCTTATTAACAAGTCAATTGTGTTTAAAGAGTTTATATTTTCTGAAGAAACTCCAATAGAATCGTTGATCTACTATAACTAGCATACAAGCTCAAAGTATACTAGTATAAAATACATTTTCCGATAGTACAATTTATGAGTGACAACATACGTTATACAGTATATTGTTTATTATTACAAAAAGATCGCCCTAAAATGGGCATAAATAGAACAGCGAGGACGCAAGATGAGTTGATCAGCAAGAAGATGCATGCATAGTTCTGAATCTTGAACAAGTGGGAATAAATACCATACTCTCCTTATTCATACGAACTACGGAATTTGCGCTATGCTAAAAAGTTCCCTTAAGATGCCAAAATCATCTTCGCATAAGGTTTTTAGAGGGCAAAACCATTCTCAGGGAATAGATTCTAATAATCAACCATGCAAAATTGTAAGCCCACCGCCATCCTTTACGTTACCATTTCCACCTGAGATTAATGCAGAGGATTTAATTAATAGCAAAACACGTAAATTGCCTTCTAAACCTCCTAATGCATTTTTTATATACCGAAAAGTTTATACAAAAGAATTAATCGCTAGAGATTTTCGATATAAAATGACCGATGTATCTCCATGGGTTTCGAGTTCATGGAGAAATGAATCTGATAAAGTACGGGAAAAATATAAAGAAATTGCAAAGGGCGTGCGTCAACTTTACAAACAAACAAAGTTAGAAACTGTCGTGAACACTGATGAGCCTATGGTCGAAAATAAGGCACAAATCCTTGAATCACAACCTTCGCCGTTACCTTCCACACCTTTTACAAAGGTTCGTTTACCCATCCCTGACTCATCTCAAGAAACACCATTTAATCAATTGAATCAAGAACAAACGTGCCTTCAAAATTTTCGACAATTAGATTTTTCACCAGTTCCTGAATCTAACGAATTGAATCATAATGTTAACAGTCAAGAATTACAAATGACAAACATCATTGACGGATTGGAAATTGGACCATATCATGAATATTTTGGATTTACATTCCAACCTCCATACTATCCATACTATCTTACTACAAATGGACAGATTACTACGGAACCTTGTGAATTTGATCTTTTTATTGAAAATCCTAATACCGAATGGGATATTGGAGAGAATGAATTTTTACCTTTTTAAAAAGGACATACCAACGAGATTAAAATGGTTAATATATTTTATTTTATTTTATTGACATAGAAGCTATTGTGAACAATATAAACTATATGAGATCAAAGTGATCAAAGAAAATTGTCTTATGCTATACAATATACAATATAAAACTCTGTTAATACTTGTAAATAAGTATTCGACTATTGGAATTTGTAACTTTACAAGCTACGATAATCTGATGTAATTTATGTAGTGTCGTTAGTTGGTGAGACAGGAAAAATATTGTATCATTAGGTTATTGTTTTTTGTGGTTGTGCGCACCAAGTATCATCAAGTATTTAGCGGAGAAGATTATGCTTTAAGATTTTATGATACAATGGATTAAGAAAAAGAAATTTTATTAAAGATAAAGATTCAAGCGGGTAGACATGTGTTTATATTTTTTTATATGAATTATATATATATATTCCTAAGAGCAATTCCAATTTATGCATAAACATTTTTCGTTAGGAATTCTTGCATTTGGGGTTATTTAGGATTTTAGCAATGCATTGTTCATTGTTGAATACTGTAAGTTCGATCACGTGAGTTTTTACTTGACTATAGCGATAGATAGTGATGATGACATATTTAAAAAATTAGTAATGTTCTTTGAAAGAAATTCTACAACCATTTTTTTAAATAATACCTAAGATCTTTTGATATACGTATTAAATGTTCAGACTTACCTTTTACCATGAATGACTGGAATAACCGCGCATTTTACGTAAGTGATTAGGTCAGCATTGTCATCTTCAATTGTGGTAGGAAAAAACCAATCATATATTCACTATTTAAATCACGTGGACTAATACATATCCAAAATAAAGTTTAATTTGTTATACCGTCAATAAGGATGGCATATAAACAGACATGTAATCCCAATGAACAATGTAATTCAGTATACAAAGGCAATTTTGATTAAGGCAAGTCGTACAAGTACATTTCGAAGATCGTCACGTTTCTACTCCTTATCGTGGCGGCAATTTTTGATATATAATTCTAATTCTATTCAACAATGATACGCGCAGTAAGTTAAGATACCTGATTGATTATATTAATTTATACTATTTAATAAGCATTACATGATTACTTCATCCGTGGGCAACCTTAACAAAAACAGAATTGCGCGTATGACAAAGACTGAATTGAAAAGATAAACTTACCGCGATGGTGCCACTTCAATCATCGGGGCATTCGGGTGTATTCCGCCCCTACATTATTAATGCGTTTAACCATGTATTGATCATGCCTGAGAAAATTTACATGCGCGTATGAGAAAAGCACATGGTAACCTGAACTGTTCCGCAAGATTGCCCGATTGGTTCAGGAAATAAATTACGTGCAATCCCATCAGTGAAGAAAGATTCTGCAACATCAGGCTTGTTAACATCTGAGAAGTAATCAATAAAAAAAAAAAAACAAACCCGAAATAACTTTAGGAATCTATTTCATTGGTGCTTTGATTTTTATGTTTTGTCATTGGTGTTTAAAACAAATCCAATTTTATCTTCAGCAATTGATTTATCTTTCTTCAAAACTTCGCTTGCACAAGAAATAATGGCAAGCAAACAAAAAATTCATTTGTGCTCATAGAAGATATGAACCTTTGACACCAATTTTGTATACATCCTTATTTGTTCTTGGAAATAATATACATCTACGTATACGGCAAACATAAGGTCACTCAATGAATATTCTAAATAAAGCCTTTGTGTTTTTTTATGAAATCAATCAAAAAAAGAAGCTCGTTTTATTGTAAAGAATAGTCGAATAAGTAAACTTTAATTACAATTATATGATTTGATTAGATAAACTATTATCATGAATTTGTGCCAAGAATGTGTATTCGAAAAAAGAATAATCATTAAGATTTCCCCTTGACACCCTTTTTTGTCCATAATTTGATATTCGATAAATGTCTGATCCGAAATTAAACATAATCAATAAACATGGTCCGATATTTGTGAAATAGATAATTTTTACTAATTTGTATAATACTTCAACAGTCATTAAAAGGAATAATATTCTTAGGATGTAAATATTAACAGTACATTAGCATTTCGTATGTACATTGTTGTTAAAGAGTTACTCAATGTTGATTATGGTCTATAGTTAATTTGCAATGTTTGATACGTAAGGATTTTTATATATACATATATATCGATGTACGTATAACTTAACTTACAATAGTATCTATATACTGTGTAATACGAATTATATATATAATGCATTTTAAAAGTTCAGTTTACTTTTTTAAGTACGTGCTTTGCTATATTGGTTTTTGTTTCTCAAGTTTTTTTTTTTGCTTTTTTTTTAACCATTTTACGGTTGTAATTATATTCGATAAGAATTTTAATTTTAGTTATTAAAACTTGTTTATAATATATATAATATTATATATTTATTTATTAAACCATAATTCTAATTTTTTATAGTGTAATATGTTCAAACATGGTTTAATTTGTAAATATGCTATATATATTTTAAAAATTTTATATAAAAGAATTATATAGTATTAATAAATTTATTTTATTTACTTTAAACATAATTATTCGAATTATTTTAGTAGATTATTATAAATTTTATATGTATAAGTACATTTTTTTGTTTTTTTAAAAAAAACTTTGCTAATTTTGCCAATAATTTTTATTATGATTCTTGTAAACTATATACATTTTAACATGATTTTATTATTATTATTATTTTTTACTACTTTTTTTTAGATTAGTTCTTTGTTATTAAACCAAATTTCTTTTTAAATTAAAATATTTTTTACTAACAGGTTAATTATATATTGTTTATTTTTCTTCTTTATATTAATATTTAATTTTTTTTTGTTTTGTAATTTTTTTTAAGCAGTTTTGCTAAGCAATTTTTTATTAAAATTTATTTTAATAAAAAATATTATAATTTAAAAATCTGGTATTAAGGTAAAGCCTTGCTTCTATCTTTATTTATAGTTATTAAGTAGTAACTATGAGAAGTTACTGAATACAAAAAGAAGTTCTATATATGTTATAGTTAAGACCAATACTTGCAGTCAGAGCTAACCATTATACTGCTAATTATAAAACTATAACTCTAAATAATATAAATGCTATATGCAAAAATAAGACTTAACCATATTTATCTATAGCTTAAACCTATTAGAGTAGTTAAGACTCATCTAGATTAGTTAAAATTTTCTAAATAATATTTATTATTCTAGTATATACTAGTAAGTTATTTATAGATTTCATTAACTATTTATATTATCAGAAATTAATTACATTATTATAAAGAAAAAAAACTAAAAATAAGGTAAATTAAATAAGAAATAAAATATAATTAAAAAGATAAAGAATAGTATTAATTAAATAAGCAAATAGATAAAGAAAGTTAACATAATTATAAGAGTATAATTAAAACAAATAGTATAAATTAAATAAGTAAATAGATAAGAAAAAGTTAACAGAAATGTATAAATATAGTTAGAAAAAAAGACTATTATTAAGTTTATTGATGATTTTAGATATATTAAAAGTATAAATAAAGTTATTTCTAATATTGTAAGTATAACAATATGAAGTTTTTTGATAATATATTAGTTTACTTAATTGAAACATAACTTATTAAGGTTTTTTTAAAGTTGAATAATAGTTGGTTTAAAAATTAAAGTAATATTATAATAAACAATAATTCTGGTTAGAATTTGTAAATTGCTTGTTTAAAAGAAGATTTTATTTAGTACTTCTTTAAGATTAAGATTAATAATTTTATTATTTATTATTGTAAATTTAAAGTAAGTTTTAAGATAGTAGTAAAAGAAATAAAATATATATTTAGAATTAGTAAATGCATTATTTAGTTGGATAAAGTTTTATTCAAATTGATCAGCTAGTTTATAAAGATCTTTAAATGATAAGAGTATATAGAATATTGCTAAGATGAATGTAAAAAGATTTAAAGATAAATATATATATTGTTAAATAGATATAATATTAAAAAATTAGCTAATTAGAGTTGTTAGTAAGTAGAGATAGGTAGGTGGATATAGAAACTAAAGTGGTTAAATAGAGAACCTACAGGCAGGTATAGTAGCTAGTGTAGAATCTTTGAGCAAACTACTTAAATTAGATAATAATTAAAGTTATACAAGTAGCTAGTTGTATATTCTTTCTATAGTTGCTCTCTGTAGTTGTAATGCAACCATTAGCCAAATATACTATTAATAAAATTCTGGATTGCAAGTACTCATCTTAATATTTAAAAAAAAAAAAAAAATTAGCTAAAGTAATAAGAAATTAAATTGTAAATATTATAAGTTATTTTTAAATTATGAATTTTATATTTTTTTAAATTAATGCAAATGTATATATAATATATTGCTATTTTAGTAACATAGTTTGTTTAGTCTTAAATGAATTAAATAGTTGGTAGTTTAGATTTTTGAAGAATTAGCTTTTTGTATTCATTATTAGTTGTTGTTATTATTTGATATTTGATATAATTATAAACTTTTTGTTTTTTGATATTACTAAATTATTTTTTGTAATATGTAAAAAATTTTTGAAGTTAAATATTAAATTGTAGTTTAATTAAATGAAAAGATGGAATATAATAGTTGGTATTAAATTTTTTTTTTTTTTTTTTTTGAACTTTGGTGACAATGCCAGTTGGTTTTTATTAGCTTAATTTTTGATATAGTACAAATTTATGGTTACATTTTAGGATCGATTATTACTAGTACTATATACTATCTAATTTAACACCA